AACTCTTACATGTATAACTCTTACATGTATAACTCTTACATGTATAATAGGGGTGCACCGATAAATCGGCTGGCCCCAATTTCCTTAATTTTGGGAAATTGGAAATCGATCGATACTTCCATGAGAAAACAATTTTAACAATTTTTTTTAGTTTTAACAACAATTGTCTGACCTTTTATATTTCAGAGCACTACCTCATGGTCAGTTAAAACAAGTTTGTATTGTTTCTAGGAGATTGTTCAAGCGTATATTTTTAAATAAAATAAGATTGGAAACTTGAAGGTGCATTGTGACCTTATAACACCTGACAGTGTCGTTTATAAAACAAAATCGGTATCGGCAGGTCAGACTTTTAAGAAATCGGTGATCGGCCAGAAAACTGCACCCCTAATGTATAACTCGTACATCTGTAACAACAAAAAAGGTTAAATCTGGTCATCTGGACCAGTTTCTTTAAGTGAGAAATGTTTTGTCCCCCATCCAGAGGACTTCCTCAGTCTACGGCCTACCAACCAGATCTGTCCCATAGGTAGCCTTCACTGCTGTGTTTCAAGACAACCTCCTGTTGGAATCTCAGAAGTTGACCTTTAACACGTGCACAACACGTTTCTCACTTAAACAAACTGGTCCAGATGACACGATTTAACCTTTCGTGTTGTTATCTACCTGGATGATGGAGCTCACAACCCTTCAACATTGAAATGTGTCTTCCAGACGTCTCTGGCGCAGAGGCTGTGCAGTGGCGCCGACAACCAGCTGTCCCTGTACACCTCGCCGTCCCTCCCCAACATCACCTTAGGACTTCCAGCCACTGCAACCACCACCGCCGCCTCCAGTGTAAGAGCCACCGCTGGCGGCTTGTAGTTCCCCGTCGGTGAACGTTGCGGCGCTGATGTCCTCTGACGGTTTATTGACGCTCTGCCTCCCCCCTTGTTTCCAGGTCGCCTCGGCTCAGCAGGACGCAGGCCTGCAGCCGGCCCTCTCCCTCAGCCCCACCTTCCTCTCTGGAGCACATTTGACCTCCTACCTCGCAGAAGCTGGCGGGGGAACCGGAGGCGCCCACAGTCCGCTGCTCCAACACATGGTTCTGATGGAGCAGAGCCCGGCTCAGAGCCCCCTGGTGACAGGTGAGGAGCTTTACCTTCAGCTTCTGGAGCGCAGCTGAAGAAGCCCAAACTCAGCTAAGAGAAGCAATGGGTTAGCTAAAAGTAGCATAGGAAGAGAAAAGCAGCCGAAGCGGAAATAGAACTGAAAAGCTCTCAAAGTATTTCAATAGAACATTTTTTTGTAAATAAAGGAAAATATTTTGAAAATCGTAAAAGTTACAAGAGCTAAAAGTCACATCCCCCATCTGCTAAATGAGCCGAAGCTCCCCCGCCCCCCCACCTTCCGCTGACAGACGTCCATTCATCAGCTCAAACTAACGAGCTCCTTTCACATTTCGGCTGTGAACGTGTGACGGCTGCATTGTGTGCCTTCTCCCTTCGGCTCATTCACCGACAAAAACATGGCTTCTATTTTCAGCCAGGCTTCAGCGCTGAAAGAGCGATGACGCACGTACAGACGCGTGCATGTGAGCGTGCACGCAGCACAACACACACACACAGGGATTTTTACACGTCGGGCGAGCGCAGGCGGTGGTGTTATCAGAGAAGTAGCCGACACATTGTTGTTTCCTCCAGAGCGATGGTCCAACTTCTCCATCGCTACGAACGGTCCACGACGGTTTGGATCAGATGGTTCTGATCATTCGGGTCACAAACAACGGGAGGTTCGGCTCGTGTTTAGCTGCAATTTCAGGAAGTCTGTGTGTGCGTTCTGGCTCAGTGTCGTTTAGATCACCGGGTCAGGGTTCTGATTGGGTCGTTTTCATCCTGACTCCTGCCTTAAACAGTAAAGGTTAAAAGTAGCTAAAAAACTTGATAAAGGCTAAACATGGCAATAAACAGCCTAAAGATAAAAGTAACAACAGACCAGCTAAAAACTAAAGGTAGCTGGACAGTAGCTATAAGCTGAGAGCTACAAATGGCTAGCTAAAAGCATCAAAAGGCTAGCTAGAACATAAACAAAGTAAAACACTAGCTGAAAGCTAACATTAGCAGCCACCTAAACTGCACAAAGGGTTAGCTAGAAGATAAATGTTGTAAAACACTAGCTGAAAGCTAAAAGTAAAAAAGAGCTAGCTAGAACTTAAATGTAGTGAAACACTAGCTGAAAGATAAAAGTAGCTAAAGTAGTTCAGTGAACATGTTTTCTGGGTCCTGCAGCCGTCGTGGCTCCTGGTTTTAAGGGTTTCTGGTGGATCTGATCCACCTCAGAGTTTTGAGCCCACCATCCAGGCCCGTGTTTTGGACCATCGTCGCCTCGTGTCGTAGCTGTTTTTAGTTGAAGCTTAAAAGCTCAGCTCAGAGCGAGCTGAGAACAACTGTCGGCTCGTAGCAGCAGTTGGGCCAGTCGAGACGAGCTCTCAGATTCAGTTCTGTCCTAAAAGGACCCGACCCCGGTCCCTCCACGTGCTTTTATGAGTCTTCAGGCTCCGTGGTGCGTTCAGGGTCTGCGTTAACCTCCTGTTTCTGTGCTGCAGGTGTGAGCGGCCTGTCCATGTCGCCGGCGTCCATGTCCAAGCTGCAGAGGCAGCACCGGCCCCTGGGGAGGACGCAGTCGGCCCCGCTGCCCCAGGGCAGCGCCGCCCAGGCCCACGCCCAGGCCCTGGCCCTGCAGCAGCTGGTGGTCCAGCAGCAGCACCAGCAGTTCCTGGAGAAGCACAAGCAGCAGTTCCAGCAGCAGCAGCTGCACCTCAACAAGGTAACGGCTGCTGCGGTTCTGACCGGCCCGTTCACGTTACGCTCAAACCAGCAGGTATTTATCGGCTGCGGTGCGGTGGTGCAGCGGTGTGCGTCGGCCTCTTCTCTCTGGAATATTCTCGTGAGTAGGCGGCAGGTACGAGTTTCTGTGTGAGCGTTTGTTTCTGTGGACGAGACCGTTGCCACGGGCTGCGAGGTAACCGTTTGCTGCCATGGCAACAGAGCGGAAACCTGCGCCTTATATGGGCAGGCAGGAAGTGAGCGCCTGTCGCCTCTGATGGCTTCACCTCTCTGAGACGGAGGAGGGAGGGGTTTCCTGTCCCACACCTCACAACGGTGTGGGAGCCGTGGACACGTCCACAACACATACACAACATGTCCACAAGTTGTCCACAACATGTCCACAACATGTCCACAACATGTCCACAACATGTCCACAACATATCCACAACATGTCTACAACATGTCCACAACATGTCTACAACATGTCCACAACATGTCCACAACATGTCTACAACATGTCCACAACACGTCCACAACATGTCCACAAGTTGTCCACAACATGTCCACAACATGTCCACAACATGTCCACAACATGTCCACAACACGTCCACAACATGTCTATAACATGTCCACAACATGTCCACAACACGTCCACAACATGTCTACAACATGTCCACAAGTTGTCCACAACACGTCCACAAAATGTCTACAACATGTCCACAACATGTCCACATCCACATGTCCACAACATGTCCACAACACGTCCACAACATGTCTACAACATGTCCACAACATGTCCACAACATGTCCACAAGTTGTCCACAACACATCCACAACATGTCC